CTTACAAGGTGGACCCAGATCCACAAAATAATTTTCCGCTGGTCCCCGATGACAATTCTAATTATATATAGTGTAGAAATAAATTTTCAACAATATATGATATGCTACAAATAGTATATATGCATAATTGTACTCGATATAAATGTCTATTATAACTTTACAAATTCCCTAATAATTTAAAATGTACTAAAAAAAAAGTGAAAAAAGGAAGAGAATCTTGGTATACCACCATTCACACCATTTAATTTCATTCCCATATATCAATGCAAAAAGCCTATTGCTCTATGCTAGCGTGGAATAGAGCACAAAGCAAAGCTAGGAATTGAAGAATAAAGATTAAAGGGACGAAGATATGAATTATAAAGAGAAACTATGATTATATGGTTTGATTTGTGGCAAATGATTGGAGATTAGTATAAGTTAAGCCACTAGTGCTAATATACAAGTAGGGATTAGGGATATAGAAAATTTTTAGTTAAGCTGAAAGATTATATTCCATGAAAAACGATTAAGTATTCACAAAAATATCACATTAAATTATATAGAATCTTCTGTTCATAATTTACTGATTATTCATGTTTAGATTTTATTCAGTTATTAGTCATTCCTAAATTGATTTATCTCATTATAACTTTTTGTATGAAATATATTTTATACTTCTTTTTTTCTTTATTAAATTATTAACAAATAATTTGTTGAGTAGAGGTCTAGGTTGGCAAGTCCACATCGTATCGTTGGAAGGTGAAATTGAATACTATATATAAGTATAAAAATAAAATCAAATTGCACCATTCCTATTAAATAACGGAGTATAACATTTGGTGTAGTGGTAAATATTTCATCTAACAATTGGTGCCAAAGCATGTTTTGAAGGCATGTGTTGTCATTGAGGCTAGCAGGTGCTAGAAACTGTCGACAATACAAGTATAAGAAAATAAAAATATAAATTTACTACTAGTTATAACTTTTTACGTAATAGTAAATGTTTCACCCAAACATAACATATACAAAGTAGATAACATGTGACTGTTTGTAATATTTAGAGCAACTACATTTGTGATTTATTTGGAGTTTTTTGTCAAGCCAAAAAAAAACTAGAGGGTTTTTAAACAAATGGGGAAGAGAGTTTTTTTTTTTTTTTTTTTTTTTTTTCTTTCTTTCTTTCTCCTGCAAGGATGAGTTTTTTGTGAGTCTCAATCAAAATCAATTGAAAAACTGCTGTGCTGCAGGTCAGACATTCAGGCTTCTTTTTTTTTTTTGAGTCCCAATCAAAACCAAATGAAACACTGCTGTGTTGCAGGTCAGGCATTCAGTTTTTTTTTTCTTTTTTTTTTTTTGAGTCCCAATCAAAATTAAATGAAACACTGTTGTGTTGCGGGTTAGGCATTCAGGCTTTTTTTTTTTTTTTTTTTTTTTTTTGTGAGTCCCAATCAAAATCAAATGAAACACTATTGTGTTGCATGTCAGGCATTCAGGCTTTTGTTCTTTTTTCTCAAATGAAACAATGTTGTGTTGCAGGTCAGGCATTCGGGGTTTTTTTTTTTTTTTTTTTTTTTTTTTTTTTTTTTTTTTTTTTTTTTTTTTTTTTTTGTGAGTCCCAATCAAAATCAAATGAAACACTGTTGTGTTGCATGTCAGGCATTCAGGCTTTTGTTCTTTTTTCTCAAATGAAACAATGTTGTGTTGCAGGTCAGGCATTCGGGTTTTTTTTTTTTTTTTTGTGAGTCCCAATCAAAATCAAATGAAACACTGATGTGTTGCATGTCAGGCATTCAGGCTTTTGTTCTTTTTCTCAAATGAAACATTGTTGTGTTGCAAGTCAGGCATTCGGGCTTTTGTTTTGTTTTTTTTTTGTTTTGTTTTGTTTTGTTTTTTTTTTTTTTTTTTTTTTTTTTTTTTTTTGTGAGTCCCAATCAAAATCAAATGAAACATTGTTGTGTTGCATGTCAGGTGATAAGTGCTTAATTGTCTATATTTTCTCCCCTTTCACTAGGCCATTTTGCTCATATATTCTTCCAAATTCCATGAGATTAGGACTAAATTGTGTTATTTTGCAAGGAGTTTGGTTTGAAAAGCATTGGAAGCAAAGTTGAGTATTTTCAGGCATTTTGGTGGACATTGGAGTCAAATGGAGCGTTTTGGATGCATTAGAGGTCAATGGGAGCCAAGGAGAAGCTAAGAGGATGGCTAAAACACTTCAAAAGGAGCCTAAGAGTGGTGTTTTCAATGGTGTTGGTCATTTGGGCAAACCAAAACAAAAGAGGAGCAAAAGATCAATGCATTGCAATTTTCGCTCATTTCGACCACTGTTCGGTATTTTGACTATATCTCAGCCTAGGAGTGTTGAAATGAAGTGATTCTTGTTCCATTGGAAAGAAGACTCAAAGGGCTACAATTCTTATAAATACATCAAAGTCTAAAAAGGAAGCCACAGGGGTCCAAATTGTCCTTGAAGTTGACGTTCCAAACTGACAAACCAAAACTGACTACCGTTTGGTTTTTGGACCATATCTCGGCCTAGGAATGTCCAAATGAAGTGATTTTTGCGCCATTGGAAAGAAGACTCGAAGGGCTACAACTTTCATGAAGACATCGAAGCCCAATTCTGAAGACAAAAGGGTCAAAATCAGCCTACAAAACGGAGTTCTGTTGCAGAGTAGAGCTCGACGCGTCGAGAAATTTCTCGACGCGTCTAGATTGGGCAGAATGTCGCGATTTTCTTACTGTAAATGTTCGACGCGTCGAAACCCTCCGTCTCTGCTCTATTTTAACTGAGGTTTCACTCATTTTTTTATGGTTTTGAACCCCATTCGAACCCTAACTATTTTCTACTCTTTCTTTTCATATTTTAGTATTAGATTAGGTGTAGATTTAGGTTCTTTATCATATTTCAAGCTTGTATTGAAGGATCTACACTTGGATTTTAAGATTCTACCATCCATTTTCAATAGAGAAGCTTTCCTTCCTTTTATCCCTTTCTTTTGCAAGATTTATGTTTGTTACTTATGCTTTTGTGTTCTTTATGTTATTTAATCATGAGTAGTTAGTTTATGGACTTGAGTTAGGGTTGTATTATATATCTTGATGCTTGATTTGTGATTATTGCATAAAGGGGATTTTGCCTACCTAGGGTTCTTGAGTTTATGAAGGATTTGTGTTCGTATTTTGTTAATGCATGGTGTACAACATTCATTGACATGTTTTGGAGGATTATTGGCCTCAATGAGAGTTGGGTCAAGATTTCAAGCCACTCCTTGCATAAATCCGATTTTTCCTATGAAAATGGGAGAAATTGGGGGTTTTAGATGCTTTGTGTTCTTGAAGAACTTGGAGTTGATTCACCACGAGAGTGGGGCAATTCCTTGTTCTAATCCTAGCTAATTTGCTCACGTGAGTGACTTATAGACTAGGATTCCTACGTGCATCCCCTCTATTCCTTGGTTGTGTGATTTTCCACAATCTTTAGGTTGTGCTATGCATCTAGATGATAATGCTCCCTAGCTTGAGTCCCATTTCCTTATTTTGTGTTTATCTTTGTGTATATGTGTTAGTCTTATCATTTCCTTAAACTTGTAGTTTGCTTAGCTTCTTGTTGATTTCCTTATGCTAGTGTCTAGTTCATTGTGATTGCATATTGCGTGCCATATCCCCCAATCCCCTGAGGACGACATAACACACCCGAGCTCACATCTTATTTTTGCTACATCATCAGGCATTTAGGCTTCTTTTTTTCTCTTTTTTTTAGTCCTAATCAAAATCAAATGAAACACTGCTGTGTTGCAGGTCAGGCATTTAGGTTTTTTTTTTTTTTTTTTTTGAGTCCCAATGAAAATCAAATGAAACACTGCTGTGTTGCAGGTCACGCATTCAGGGTTTTTTTTTTTTTTTTTTTTTTTTTTTTTTTTTTTTTTTTTTTTTGTGTCCCAATCAAAATCAGATGAAACACTGTTGTGTTGCAAGTCAGGCATTCAGGCTTTTGTTTTGTTTTGGTTTTTTTTTTTTTTTTGAGTCTCAGTCAAAATCAAATGAAACACTGTTGTGTTGCAGGTCAGGCATTCAGTTTTTTTTTTTTTTTTTTTTTTTTTTTTTTTTTTTTTTGAGTCCCTATCAAAATCAAATGACAAGTTTTTGTTCTTTTTCCTTTAAACACAGCAAAAAACTCATCCTTGCAGGAGAGGCAGTGCTTTTTTCTTTTCTTTTTCTCCCCTTTTTCTCTATCTCCTCTCTCCTCTCTCTCATCCTTTGCACATGTGACATGACAAAAATTATGTAAAAACTTCAACAAATGAGGTTACTCTTAAACCCACTGTAGAATTAATCCTCAGCCCAAACATGTTTAATGTTTATTAACATTTAACCAACAACACTCACCCCCAAGAAAACAATTTCTTTGATTTACCCAAAAGTCGCAATGACTAAAGTACTCAATCTCTATACGAAAGACGTATTGTAACTCTAGTTAACAAAGAATATAATATTTGAATTACAATAGGGAGTTTTCATAGAGACCTGAACTCAATACGTTCGCTAGTATAGCTTATAATTATCATGTCAGTTGTCCAACTACCTCAAACTAAAATTATCCTAACAAAATAATTTCTTACAAGATGAAAGAACAACCAATAGTATACTTAAGCAACTCAAACATCTCACCAACTTAAATTTTTTATGAGGCATTATATTGATTTTAACGTCTCATTAAGAACTACCCATATTATATTATTATACTTAGGTCACTCAAACCCCTCCGCACCTTGCATGTAATTCCATTATTATTATGAGTATTTCAAAAATTAGGTTGTTTGAATAAAACAATAAGATTTAACCAAAAAAAAAAAAAAAAAAAAAAACATGTAATATACTTCTCCATGGGACCTCTACATTTCAATAGACTAAACATTTGAGAGGATTTAAATTAGGATGACTCATTGATTCAATCGACAGGATCAAATGCTTGTACGCGTAAAGAATTTGACCATTTTAGATATAACATGCTTGGATCATGTGAATACACTGATAACATGCTTGGATAATAATTGCAAAATACAAGCTGTTTACAATGCATGAAGCTAAGCTTCTTCTACCATGCCAATTAACCCAAACTAGAAAACCCCCAAATACATTACTAGAAATAAGAACACTAGGGCACTAACCCTAAACAAGGAAACAAATCAAACTAGAAACAAATACAATACTTATTATATATATAATATATATAGCCAGCCAACATTCTTCCTAGCTTGGATTGATTGATGATCTCCCATGTTAGTTGTCTTTCAAAATTGAGATCAAACGCCATTGCAGCGCCCCACACCCTTCTTCATCTTCTTCCTTCAGAAAACCCTAGCCACCGCTTTGCAGGCCAGAGGCTGCTTCATCTCCATGGACAGCTTAAGAACCTCAGACAAGTCCAACCCTTTCTCCCCAGACGCCTCCCACTTGAAGTTCTGGAGCAGCTGAGCCAGCCAGAGCTGCACGGTGGCGTAACCCATCGCCTTGCCGGGGCAGACGCGGCGGCCGGAGCCGAACGGGGCCAGCCTCAGGTCAGAGCCCATAATGGGCACGTCTTCCTCCAAGAACCTCTCCGGCATGAACTTCTCCGGCTCCGACCAGATCCTCTCGTCGTGGGTGATGGCGTACATGTTCACCATGGCCGTCGTCCCCGCCGGGATGAAGTGCTCGCCGACGTGAGTGTCCTCGACGGCCAGCCTCGCCCACGACAGCAGCGGCCCCGGCGGGTGCACCCTCAGAGTCTCCTTCACAATGGCGTTCAGATATGGCAGATTTGGAAGGTCGGAATCCGACACCGCCCTGTTCCGACCAACAACGTTGTCAATCTCCGCCTGTGCCCTCGCCTGAATCTCCGGATGAACAACCATTCTCGCAAGAATCCATTCCAGCAAAATTGCCACGGTATCAGTTCCCCTGAACAACATTTCCTGTTTCGGCCAAAACCAAACAAAAAAAAAAAGTGAACTTTATCAAAATTACCCAGACTTTTTGACTCAGTAACTATATCCCTTGTTTTTGTTTTAGTACCAAAAAAAAAAAGGAAAGAAATGAAACGTGAAAAATTAAACCAGAGAGTGCGACATCCAACATGCAAAAATGGGGGATAAAAATTATTCAGATTCCTCATATCAGGATACCAAAAGGAAGGAATTCATCAGAAATAACATATATTCCAGGCGGCCCCAAAAAATCATTAGATCAGTGCACAAATCATAGCCACAAACAAAAAAAAAAACAACATATATATCTTAAAGGGGAAACGACAAAATTAGGAGAACAAGAAAAACATTAACCAAACTGAAACGCGAACACATACAAATGTAAAGAGACATACCCAGAGGACAGCAGTCATTTCAGAGGCACTGAGCTTGTTCTCATTCTCCATATCCAAAAGAACATCGACGAAGTCCCCGGAGAAGTCGTCTGGTTTAGTAAGTTGTTGATTCTGGGACCTTCGAGTACGGTGGTCGTCGATGATGTCTCCGACAAAGACATTAACTTTCGCCACCAAGTCTCTGCATCTTCTTCTCACGCCCTGCAAATCAAACCACCCTAGTACAGGGAAATGGTCAGTCCAGTTGAAGGTCCCAAGAAGGTCATACCCTTCACTGACAAGCTCCTCGAGCACTGAGCCCTTCTGGGTAGTGAAATCATAGCATCTCCCAAACACGGTCTTCATCACATTGTTGAGAGAGGCAAAGTGGAGGACTTTCTTGACTTTAACCTCTCCTTCTTTCTCCATCACACCCTTTATCTCATCCACCATTTTCATCCCGATTTCGTTTCTGTACGCCCCAAAGGAGGCTATCCTCCTCGGACAGAACAAATGGGTGGCGGAGATTCTCCTCAGATTCCTCCAGTAATCTCCGTAGGGAGCAAACCCCATGGCCTTGTGGAACAGCAGCTCATAGGCCGACTCCTTCACCGGCCTATCAGCGAAAGCAGGGCTGCCAAGAATCTCCTTAGCAGTGTCCGGGTCACTGGAGATGATGAAACGAGTAAAACCCACAGAGAACGCCATTAAAGACTCGGCCTTTAAGGCTTTCGCGAGCCTCTGGAGGACTCTGTGAGTGAGAGGACCGGTAAATGACATAACCATACCCAAGAGGGGCAGGCCGTGAGGGCCGGGAATGGCGGTCCGGTTGCGAAGATGGACATTGGAGAGAGCCCAGGCGAGTCCGCCGGGGCGGAGCCAGAAGGCCACGACGGCGAGAAGGGAGAAGAAACAGGCGAGGAGGGGAAAACTGAGAACAGCGGAGGAAAGGGCGGAATTAGGAAGAAAGAGAAGAGAGAAATCTTGAGGAGACATTTTTGAAGATGAAAGTTTATTCGTCGGAGCTAAGGGATAATAAAAGGCGGCGTTTCTTGTGGTGAAATGGAAGTTATGTGAGTAGTAGGTTGGCGATGTAGCTAGCGAAGTTGGAGAGTTGGAGAGACGAAGAGTGTGAAGGAACGGTTAAATAGATGGAAGACTGGAAAGGTTTGCATGAGGAGGAGGAGGCCGGATAAACTTAACCTTGGTTAGTTAAAGCTTATGGTTCCCAGGCCACATGGTTAAACTAAATTCAAAGGGAATTTTCCTTGTTTTATTATTCTTTTACCCCTTAATTAATTTGGTCCAAAAAATACAGATAATAACCTCACCAATTTTTAAAAAGATTATATTATTGGTAAAAGAATCAAAGTATTAGCATCATTGTGAGATCATATACCTATATTATATTACAAATAAAAGTAAATAAGGTTAAATAATTTCACGCCAATTACCATTTAGGGTCCGTTTGGAAAGCTGGAAAATGACTTCTGAAAAATGAGTCATTTTCCAGAAAACATTTTCCTTTCCGGTGTTTGGTTGCATTTTGGAAAACTGTCTTTGTGTGTTTGTTTCATTTTCTGGAAAATGAGTAGAATGGTATAATTAAACATTTTAATTATTTTATTTGGAATAAAAATATTTATAATAATATTAAATATACTTTTATTTATTAAAAATTATATTAAAAAAATGCCTTCATTTCTTGGTTTGCTGCAAGTGTGGCTCTCTTCTTCCAGAACTCACAATGTCCTCATCTCTTGAGAGCTTTCCGTCGTCACCTACATCGCCACCTCAAGAGTTGAAATTTGTATAAAATTTGTGATTTTGGTAGGGCTATTGAGGAGAGCAAGGGCGTAAGGCTATTCACCGAATGTTTTTTTTTTTTTTTTTTTTTTGTATTTAAGGTTTCCGGCGAAAACGAGTGGTCTGGTTTCCGTCGGAAACCACAGCTCACAACTCTGGTTTCCGCCGGAAACATTGTATGATAATTCAGACGTTTTTTTTTAAGGTTTCCGACGGAAACTAGTGGTCTGGTTTCCGCCGGAAACCACAACTCACAGCTCTGGTTTCCGCCGGAAACTAGATATGTGGTTTCCGGCGTGCTAGAAACATTGTTGTATGTTTGGAGGAGGAGGTGTTGGCGGAGTTTCTGCTGAATGTTGATGGGAGAAGCGGAACTTTAGACTTCAGAGTGAGGAGGGACTTCCGGAAAATGACTTCCCCCCAAAAAAAGGGGAAGTCATTTTCTGAAAAAATGGACTCATTTTCCATTGACCATAGCTCATTTTCCTTTGACTTTTCATTTTTCAGTCTAGCCAAACACCAAAAACCCGGATAATGATTTCCAGAAATCATTTTCCGGGTTTCCAAACAGACCCTTACTGAGATGTCATTCGATTATCCGTCATAAGTTTAAGGGGGTGTATTCAATCATGACTTTCATAGAGTTTTAAAGACTTTTATGAACTTTAAAAGTTTGGAGGTATTCAATTCAAACTTTTAGAAAGTCTTTAAAAGTCAAGCCGTATTCAATCAAGATTTTTAAAGAGTCTTTAAAAGTCGTGTGGTATTTGATTAAGACTTTTAAATAGTTTTTAAAAGTCATATGGTATTCAAAAAGTTATGAACTTTTGTAGACTTTTTAATTTTAAGACTTTTCCTTCTTAAATATAAATAGTTGAAATTCAACTATCAATCCCAAGATTTCAAAATTTTCTTTCTAACTTTGAATGTTCTCTCTCTATTTAAACTTATTTTTTCTACGTATTTAAACTTCATAAACCTCTCTAAATTCAATAAAAAAAAAAATTCTTCATTATCCTATATTTTCCTCATACCTAAACTCTACCAATTTTTCTCTCTCCTAAACTTTACAATCTTCATTTAAAAATTTGAAATAATATAATTTTTACTTCATTATTGCTTGTTTATATTGATTTTTATTTTTTCTATAAAATGTTTATCCCTAACTTTCTCTAATTCTCTCTAAATGCATGAACAAAGCAAATTTTCCATTGTCAAATTTTAGTATATGTTTCATAATATTCATATAAATACTTTTATATTTTGATTTTTATTCTTTTTATGTTTATATTCGTAATATATATTTTTCTTTTTTTTTTTTTTTAACAACAAGGTTACTACAAATAGCAAACTACTATTCGCAACAACAATTTGGGATTACAAACAATAGCACCATGTTGTTGTTCGTAGTCTCAAATTGCTATTGCAAATAATAGTTTATTTTTTACTTTTATAATGCCAATATATATGTGTATATATATATATATATATATATATATATATATATATATATATATTAATATTATATTTTTATTTTTTAATTTTATGCAACTTGTAATTATATTTTTAAATATTTTATTTGATCAAGTTTTTTATTATAAATTTTATTGTTCAATATTCTTGTGAATTTTTAATGAAATAGTTTTTGTTTGTTGATATTTATTAATAATATATATAAGTAATTTGTATTTTTTTTGAAGAATAAGTAATTAGTATATAAAAGTCTCAACATATTATAAATAAAATTAATAATGTTGAGAATGTTGATGTGGATGAAGAACTATATAATTAGAAGAATTTTGTGATATATTATAAATTTTTTGTAAGAAAATTATATATATATATATATATATATGATAAGAATCAAAATCATTGAAAGTTTGTAAAGGTGTATTCGATTTAGAATTTCAATGACTTTCGTAGACTTTTTAAAATAAAAAGTTGATAAAAGTCTAGAATGTTTTTTTATATAGACTTTTATAGAGTAAAATTTTAAAAAGTAACGACTCTATGAAAGTCAACCAAAGTTTATTAAAATCTTTCAATTTAAAAGTCTTTAAAAATCTACAAAAGTCATGCTTGAATACAACCCCTAAAATCTGGTGGTGAGAGATTAGATTCTTTGAGATGGAAAGATTAAATAATCTCTCAAATTTTAAAAAAGAATCAGGTTATTAGCATCATTGGAGATCATATTATATTACGAAAAGTTAATTTCACTTTTAGTCCTATGATTATAGGAATCTTGTTGACTTGAACCCACGACTTTCAAAACCGTCAATTTATTAGTACCATAACTATTCAATTTTTATTAATTTAGTTCACTTCGGTCAAATTGTCGGTCAAAACTCACCGGAAAATATTAATAGGTAAAATAAGTAGGGTATTTTAGTATTTTTATGTTCAATTTCTTTCTTATTTAAAATACCCTTATTATTTTACATATTAATATTTTACGGTGAGCTTTGGCGGGCAATTTGTTTATAGTGACCAAAATTGATAAAAATTAAATAGTTAAGATACAAAATTGACAATTTTGAAAGTCGTGAATTGAAATTAACAGACCTCAATAGTCATAGGACTAAAAGTGAAATTAACTATATTACAAATAAAACAATGGTAAAAACGGGTTTAGTCAACTCGGTGTTAGTTGGCTAACACCGAGGTGAATTAAGTGGCACGAATAAGATAATAATATGTGATAAGTGTATTTATGTCTATATTTTTAATTTTGTACTTCATATATAAACATATTTTGAGTGATAAATACTTTGGTTTTATTCAAGAAGTGCATTAATTCATTTGTTTACTTCTTTATGTGCTTAAATTGTTGAGTTGAAGAAAATTGTGTGCTTTTGGGGCATTTTAAATTCATTTGGAGTCATTGGCTGGAAGAGTGAAGTTAAGAGGGTGGATAAAATACTTTCAAGGAAGCCCAAGAGTGGTATTTTCAATAGTATTCATCACAAGAACAAACCAAGACAAAGTGAAACAAAAGAGCAAGAAGTTGAGTTATCGCATAGATTGACCATTGTTCGATATTTGGACCATATATCGGCCTAGTGATGTCCAAATCAAGTGATTCTTATGACATTGAAAAGATGACTCAAAAGGTTACAACTCTTTTGAAGACCTAAAAGTCTAAAAAGGAAGTCACATGGATAAAAATCGTCATTGAAATTGAAGTCCCAAACTTGCAGATTTCACCTAAATTAAAGCTGGCCTATGTTTGATATTTTGATCATATCTTGATATAGAAAGGTCAAAATAGGATGATTCCAACAACATTGGAAAAAAAAAAAAAAAAAACTTTTAAGAGCTACAACTTTGGTGAAGGTCATCGTGGCCCATGTCGTTAGCTCTCAGGTTTCAGGATTCACGATTGTGGTTACGTCAAGAGAAAAAAAGTAAATTAGCCAATCAGCCAAGTCAAGAGAGAAATTATGAGAAAAAAATTTCATTAAAGGATGGTAAGATCAGTCAATTCATGACACCCAATGATTATAAGACATGTCATTGAGAAAATTTAAGAAGGAAAAAATTAGGATGAGTAAGATTGTAGGAAGCATTTTAAATTTTTTGGTTCACTGTAATTTAGATGTAGTAGAATTGGAATTCAATAGAGGTTTCAATTTGTTGTTTGGTTGGAGGAAATTGCAATTCAATGGATGTGAGAAGAAAAAAAAAATGAAATGACACTACTAACATTGATTATTATTAATATTATTATTACAATAGGGTATTTTAGTCTTTATACCACTTATTTATTTCTTCATTCCAATAATTCTATTTCTTCCTACCAAACAACACGTAATTTGAATTCATACTTTATTCTCACCTTATTCTTTTTCCATTGAATTACAATTCATTTTCCCCCTAATTTCTTCCTTCAAACCAAACACCTTCTAAATGTGTGTTAATAAATATGCAAAACTTATAGATTCAAAATGCTATTTCTCCTTTAATTAAAATGCTGTCATAACTCCCAAAAAATTATGTATATATGTGAGGTTCATAGTTTTTTTTTTTTACAAGAAAATATTTACAGACTCCATAGGAGTACATAAATTATTTTCCAAAACAAAATATTTTTGTCAGGGCTATTTCTGTCGCTACAAATCTACAACTGCACGAAAATTTTATTTGTCTGTACCACCAATCCTCCGTTGGCTAGAGCAATCAATTTGATGAACTGCAAGCATTACCAAAAAAAAAAAAAAAAAAAAAAAAAAAAAACAGGATTCTTAAAAAAAAGAGGGCAGACCCAGACAGTACAGTTTCTGTTTCTGTTTGGAGTTTAGATGAAAA